GTGTGTGTGTGTGTAAGAGAGAGAGAATATATGAATGAATATATGTATGGGCATGTTGTAAGAATTGGGTCTCTACTTCCATCACTGGGTCCTGGGTCTTGAATGTAGGTCATCAGGCTTGGTGGCTAGTGCCTTTACATGCTGAGCCATTTTGAAGGCTCAGTGGTTGTTTGTTTGTTGATTTTTAAAGAAAAAACATTCCTTCAAAGGTTGAATGGTGCAACTTTATAGTCATAAGGAAGTGTGGGGGCAATAGCAATTAATTTTTAATTTCCTTTTATATTTCAAAATTTGTCAGTTAAATTTTTAAAAAATTCATTTTTGTTGAAATATTAGAACTATTTTGTGGCATTTCTCATCTTTGTTTACTATAAATTATTTGCCATAGTAATTCATAGTTATTTTTGTCATTTTGTTATTGTTGCTTTTGTTTTTGATTTTGAGACAGAAGGGGTAGAGACAAAGCACTCTGAGTTTTAGATTTTTTTTTGTGTGTGTAAAAGTACATATTCATGTGTGCATGTGCACATGTGCAAATGTGCACAAGTGTGTGTGTGCGTGTGAAGGCTAGGTCAACATCAGGTGTCTTCTTCAGTCATTGTCCACCATACTTTTGAGACAAGGTCTTTCACTGAACCCGGAGTTTCATGATTTGTCTAAACGAGGTGATCAGCAAGCTCCAGGGTTCCTCCTGTCTCCCCCTCTTTGGCACCCAGCTTCCTACATGGTACAGGAACCCCAACCCAGATCCTCATGTTAGAACAGCCAGCACTTCCCAACAGAGCCATCTCTCCCTCCCTTATGATTATAAAGCTATTAAAATGTACAATCTGTATATAAGACCATGTATTCTTCCCATTCTTAAAACTGTCTCGACACCTTCGCTCTTTTGAAAACACGTACAAATTTACAGTGTCTTTGCTGACTCTTGCATATTGCTAGTTCAGGGTGTTTTCTCTAGATGTAAACTCAGCTTGCTAATCAATTCTCTCAGCTTGCTCAAAGAAAACATACCATGTGAGACGAGGTTCCGGCCAGCCTGCTACGGAGCAATGTAATTTCACATTTTCGTTCTCCCAAACGGTGTGAGAACGAGGTTTAATGATAAATTCGGGAGCGTGGAGTAGATGGTCTTCGTTTAGCTTTCCATGATATGCTTGGGTCTCTTCTAACTGAAAAAGCAAGCAGGTAAACAAGCAGATGTTTCCAAAATACCACCAAGTCAAAGTCACTTCTAGTGCTAAAATAACCAGTAGAAGCCAAAAGTGTGCTTTCCCTTTGTTTTGTTTGAGGTAGATTTTTATGTAGCCCAGGCTGGCCCCCAACTCACTTTATAGTCAAGGATGACTTCAAACTTCTGATCTTCCTGACTCCACGTCTCTGGCATCGCCATCATGTCCCACTTTACGGGGTAGTGGGGATTGAACCTGTGGCTCTATGCATTATGCAAGCAGTATAAACTTACTGCATTCTCAGACCTAATTTTTACATTCTGATCCTTATGTTTACAGTCAGGTAAACCATTTCCTTCCTGATTGTAAAAATTAGTTTGGTTTTTAAAACCCAAAGATTGAGCAACACCCCTACAATGTCTTGCTAAAGTGGCTTCAGAAACTTATTTCATATCTTTCAAATCTGGATTTCCATGAAGTTTAAAATTCCAAAGTTTGGCCTGTGCATTTTGACGTCTTTTCTCCTTGTTTCCATTAGCTTTGTTTCTCTCTAACCCACATATAGTTCAGCCCTTGAAACAACCCCGTCCGGATCTCCGCACACACGTGCTCACCCACAGCTTCTTAAACACGTCCCCGTTTTTCTAAGTAGCACGGCATTAGCTCTCCTTACTGTTTTCCTCAGCGACAGCTCCTCTGCTTTCTCTCGAATTGCCACGCTCCTCGACTTCTTTTCCCATGTTTCTTCTCGTTGAAGGGAGGCTGTGGCCTGTTTGGAGACTTTGGACTGCTTGGAGGCTGTGGCCTGCTGGGAGGCTGCGATGGCTTCCTCGCTCGCCAGAAGAGTCCTCTGGGCTATGTACGCAGCAGCTTCTTTGATTCTCTCCTCCTCGGTGTCTCTGACCCCACTGATGTGCACTTGGCTGAAACAACAGGGCAGAAGGCGGGAACAGCGTGGGGATGACAAGCCTGCTGAGTTTCACTGAGCTCAGGCCCAGGCCATGCCCCTAGGAAATCTGCCATCAGAAAACCCTGGCATGGGGCTGGAGAGGTGGCTCAGCAGGGCACCTGCAGAGGACCCGGGTTCAGTTCCCAGCTTCCACATGGCGGCTCACAGCCGTCTGGAGCTCCAGTCCCTAGAGATCTGATGACCTCCTCTGACCTCCATGAGCAATGCATGAAGGCGCTACACTTGCATACATGCAAGAAAAATATTCATACCCATAAAACAAAAAAATGATCTTTTAAAATATCCTGACAAATCAGGGTCTAACCCTTTATTATAGAAGAGAGTGCCTCCTTTTAACACTAAGAATGACAAGAGCGATGATTCCTATTATGGTTCTAGTGCCTTTCACATATGATATCTCATTCCATCCAAATAAAACCCCACAAGGTAGACACTATCTCCCCTGTTTTAGATATATGGTTAACAAGCTTAAAGAAGTTAAGTAAACAGCCCAAGGGGTTTCACTGGCCAACTTAGTGTGTTTAAATATGATTTCATTTACAATAAAAGATGAAGTTATGATTTTTTTCCAGAAAAGACAACAATGTACAACGAAATAGAGATCAAATGTCTGTGACCTGATATGTGACTGTGTGAACTCTGCTGTAGCGCACAGCCAGAAATGCCCAGACGTGTCCCATGTCCTAATGTCACATAAGACTCTGGTGCAGAGTGGGTTTCTTCAGTCCCCCAACATTTTATAGTCTGGGTTTTTAACATACATCATTTTTAAAATTATTATCAGCATATACTAACTTTGCAAAGCACCAGGCTTTCTTACTGTTATTCTATACATTGATCATACATAATACATTTGGTCATATTTGTACCTCCAGTGGCCATTCCTACCTCCTCCTCCCTTTGCCCTTCCACATCTTCACCTACCCGGTTCACTTTACACTTTAGAGTTTTGAATCTTCCTTTTTACTGGACAAATATTGACTATGAGTAGTATTTAATCACTCACATCTAAAGCTCTACTTCCCATGTCAATTGACCATATACAGCATTATGCCCTAATCATTCTCTTTTGTCACGCATCCTATGTATGACAAAAATGTCTGAAAATGAAATACTTTGATTTCAATGAGCCCATCCTTCTCAGTGTGGCTTTCAACCATCCTAGGTCCTTTTAAAACTGACATATAGAGAGTCCTCAACAAATGGTAGCTACTCTTGACGCCTCACTTATAATAATTACACACTGGGAGAGAAAGTACACTCACCGTCCAGAGTAAATAGGCACCATGTAGTTTCCTGGCAGGTTTTCTGTCTCCTCTCCAGGCAGAAGGCTCCGCTTGGCTCTCTTTATTTGGGGGCTCAACTTGGATGAATAATCTTCTAATAGCAGACTGGAATCTGTACGTCTGAAAGGAGACCCCTAACATTAGACAGAACACAGAGTGCATTTAAGATATCCCAAGGGTTGACGAAGTAGAAGGTGAGGGGGCACCACTTAGGGAAAATTTCCTAGAACCTTAGGTCTCTAATATTATTGTCTTTTCTGTTCAGAAACCAACTGGAGTTAGAAAGACTGCAGATATGTAAATGTTCTCCAGACAGACACTAAGAAAAAAATAGTGATTTCATGGCTTTTTCCCTCTAAAACTTGAAGGGAAATGAGGAAGATGTTGATATTTTCAAATAGCCTTTGTAGTTAAGATAGTGTTTGAAATTTAGTCAATCTATATAAATGTGTCTCTTTCTTTCTTTTTGAAGTATTGGGAATCAAACCCAAGGCTTGTAGGTAAGCATATAAATGGCTTTGATACATTTTGTATTCAAGTCCTCTTAGACTAAATTGGGAACTGGGCAATTCTCCACACAGGGATCCAGGGCTACTCTGATGCAGAACCCTAGGTTCTCACTGTGAGACCTTTCCATACATACTTCCAACAATCGAGGAAACCCTCAACTCATCGAACAAGTTTTCATTACATGGACATTTGGAGTTGAGTGATACAGTATGATAAAGAACACTGGGGCCAGTTCTATTTGACTATGCACATTGAGGCCAATGTGTGCAAGGAGGTAGTTTATGTTGGAATGAATGAAAAACCCCACTGGGGAGTTGGAAAACAGTAGGAACCATAAAATAAATAAATAAATAAAATAACAAAACAAAAAATAGCCTTAACCTATGTAGTTGTGGAGTTAAATAAAATACAGTTTTCACACAATTTCATGAACTCAAGTACATAGACTCCCAGGAACCAATGTGTAGATTGAAGACTGCAAATTCCCTGGTCTGGTCTCTATGGTGATGAAGGATGTCAACAATAGGAGACTGTGTGGGAACTCTCTGTACTTAATTTTTCCCTGTAGACTTGAACTACTCAAAAATAAAAATAATATTATTAAAGCTCCTAGTCTAGAGAATTCTTAAAAAGATGAAGCCTGTGAGTTATATCTCTTGGGAAATATCAAGCTACGCAGTTAAAATTATTCAAGGCTTGATCATTGCCTAATGTTTAAAAAACACTTGGAGACACTTAATGGCTGTGCATTAAGAACACTTACTGCTCTTGCAGAAAACTGGGGTTTGGTTTCCAACACCCAGATGGTGGCTCACCACCACCTGTAACCCTAGTTCAGGAAATCCAATGCCCTCGGCCCTCTGAGGGTATCTCATGAATGTGGTGCACATAGATTTACACAGACACACACACACAAACACACACAGAGAGAATAATCTTTTGTAACATTTAGAAAAGCAAAGAGAAATTACCTATATCAAAAGCAAAGCCATGGGCCAAACATACACACAGTATAAAATGGGTAACGCAAGAAAGTAAGTAGTACTGTACAAAACAAAGATTTCCAGGGTGCACAGAGGCCCAGAGTCTGAGTAGACACTAAGCACACACACATGAATGAGTGTGTGTGTATCTTGTCTATTAAAACTGTGCCGCACGTGCAGGCTTAGCTGCTATCATTGATCCTCTGGTGTGGTCACATGGAAGCGGCGCACTCTGCTACCCAGGACGACAGCTAGCTCGTTTCTATGGGACAGTGTTGAAGCTAAAGGTTAGAACCTTGAAGTTGAGCTTGTGGATTGCTTACCAACTGGAAGCCAGAGTGAAATTTGTTCCTGGCTGACTGTTCCAGCAAAAGGACTGCATCTTATACCCCAGGTCACAGAGTACAGCCTGTGCTTATACGAGTCTAAGTTTAAAGTGGTATTTACCTCCACCTTTTTACTCCATTACTATACAAAATGAACCATGAGATCAAGGGTATTGCTGCCTTTCTTATTTTTGAGAACAGTGAAATTTTCTTTTTACTCTTCTATTTTTACTCTATTTTTTATTTTTGTTTCTACAATCAAAGTTTTGCAAACTCATTTTTCAATGTCTGATTGCAACAGAAGTTATGATACTCCATTATTTTGTCTACTCCTTTTTTCCTGTAAGACAAATATTTTAAATAATGAACTTATTACATAGGACATATCCCAAATGAGATTATCTCATTCTCACAGCTGTAAATCACAGCAGCTGAGTTTTAATAGTTAAATTAGATGCTAAAGATTTGTGGCACTAGCACTGGCTCCCATTTAATATTTTATCTTGAACAAATACTTTATAAAAAGTACTATGCTGCTATATATTATATAGGAAATATAAAATTGCTGCATTTTTATGCTTTCTAAAGCTTATTCAGGGGCTGGAGAGATGGCTCAGTGGTTAAGAGCACTGATTGCTCTTCCAGAGGTCCTGAGTTCAATTCCCAGCAACCACATGGTGGCTCACAACTGTCTGTAATGAGATCTGGTGCCCTCTTCTGGCCTGCAGTCACATATGCTGTATACATAAAAAAAAAAAAAAAAAAAAAAAAAAAGCTTATTCAAGTTATTGTTTCTTTTTTTCAATCTGAGACAAGGTCTCATTATGTAACCCTGCCTGTCCTGGAACTCACTATGTAGGGGTCTTGAACTCACAGAGATCCTCCTGCCTCTGCCTCCCAAATACTGTAATAAAGGCATGTGCCACTACAACTAGCTAAGTTATTGTTCCTTACAGAGTGTGTGAAGTAGATGTCAAATTACCATCTGTATTGATGATTTAGTAATGTCAAGTTATTTACTGACTGATTGACTGAGATAGGGTCCTGCTGTATAGCTCAGGTTGTCCCAGGATCATGGCGGCCCTCCTATTTCTTCCTCTCAAATGCTGCTACTACAGGTGTGTGCAACTGTGTGCAGCTTCCAAAATATTTACTGAAGCCAGAAAACAAAATTAAATTAGGAATACAATGTTTTGAAGGACCATGTAATAATCAGTTTGAATAGAATAGCAGTCTATTTTGTTGTGATCCATGAAACCAACGTTTAATGTTTTATACTATCAAATCTTAGAAGAGTTCAGTAAAATATGTAGACTTTACATTCCTTTGGCTCTAGAAACCTAAATATGAGTTTATTAATTTCTTGTGATTTTAGTTGTATCTAACTTTTGGTAGTAATCCTTCTCTAATCTCTCAGTTTCTGAGTAGATAGGAAAGATGACATACATAGCTGTGTAAGTATTTTAGTTATTAAAATTGTGTTGGCTGTTCCTTATGTACTAACTTAGATTATGAAATTCCCTGTGTCCTTGAATTTTAACTGATCAAGTAAGTCATATTAAACGTGAGGCCATGCATCTGTCTGTGGCTATGTCTAGGTTCATCTTTTTGTACTGGATTATGTCATATGCTCTACCAATAGGCCTACATTTAGTAGATTTTAAACAAATATCCTGATATATATATAATCACATCTATGGCCAGTGGTACCATGGAGAAGGGATAGAGTCAAAGGCCAGAAATCACTCTCTGGAAATATTCTAGGAATCCAGATAAAGGCTGACCTATGCATCTAATTAAAATACTGAACAGCTGAAAGTGTAGCCTTCACACCAGGTGTGCTGACACACACACCTGTAATCCTAGCAGTTGTAGCCTTCACACTAGGTGTGCTGGTTTACACATCTGTAATCCTAGCAGTTGTAGCCTTCACACCAGGTGTGCTGGCTCACACACCTGTGATCCTAGCAGTTCTAGCCTTCACTCCAGTGCTGGCTCACACACCTGTGATCCTAGCAGTTGTAGCCTTCACACCAGTGTGCTGGCTCACACACCTGTGATCCTAGCAGTTGTAGCCTTCACA